TGGTATTACAGATACTTTAAACAACATTTAATCTGACTGAGCACCAGCTGGAAAATACCAGCAACTGAGAAAACACTAACATTTAGCAAGAGGATTGCTAATATTTCTTATTCTCTGGCTCCACTCTCATCATTCAGCTCAAGCCTTTGGTTTCCAGGAAACATATTGCAACTTCCATCCGTAGCTCCTTAGCAGATGTTACTTCTCAGATCAAGCAGGATTTCACATCAAATCTTGGCCACAGCTTAGGAAAATGGAGGCTCCAACCCTGCTCCTTCCAAAGGACTTTGTAAGTGGGGTGGTCTTAGCCAGTTCTGCTGAATCTGTTGGTTTGTAAATGCTTCCCTCCGCCCCCCAAATCGGGTAAATACGAAAACAAATGCTGTCTGTCTTTGGCTCTTTCTAATTGATGGGAAACGTTTCCTCAGTGATCTCTTCAACTTAATTCTTAATCTTTACCTGGAATGTCATCTTCACGCGTATCTCGCCAACAGTAAAGCACAAATACAGTACATCACCTGATGTCTTTTGGCTAGGTTAATTGCACTTTTATGCCTCACAGCAGCTAGCCTGTTTACAGCCCTGCTACAGCCCTAGCAAAGCATCCAAATCAAAAGTACATTATCTGGCATAATAAACAAGGGGTTGGATTTGTTAGTCTGCCAGCCCTGCCAAGAACTCGGCAACTCCAGAAACGAGTTTGCTTACATCTGTGCCTAAATATTGTATTGCGACTGACTTCAAGCAGCCAGTTTTTGAAGCTGCAACCAGTCTCTTTTGAGGACCAATGCCAGGTGTGGAGGCAGTAATGCTGAAAGTGCAAATTGCTATCAGTCTGTCCAGAAAAATCCAAAAGATGTTGTCAGTAAAAAGCAATACCCCATCCCTTTTAGCGCGTTGTTTCCCTCAGTGCCCATGTTTCCTCCACGGACCACCTGTTGGGACCCTTGGCACGGACCAGGTTAGTGTTGGGGTGATGCTGGCTTGGGTCATGCCACCAAACCCACTCCCCACATTGGCCTTTTGGGGGTTTCAGCTCCTCTCCCGTCAGTGAAGATGGGCAGATTGCTCGAGGGAGGTTTCCTTGTGCTCTGAATCCTTCCTTTGGTAGCTCTGGTGGAAGTGCTGTGAAAGAGAGGTCCCAGCATCCACAGAGACATCTTCTATGTGTCTCAAAAAAAAAAAAAAAAGAGCTTTTACAAGCTGTTCAACAGAGAAGGAAAGGAAGGGAGTGAGACAGCTCTTATGTTTAATAGCGTGGTGTTGCTACAACTGCTGGTGCTGGCAGGTGACAATACGCTGCTCCATCCTTTCATGTCCTCCCAGCATAAACCTACAAATCAATGGGCGAGAAGCCAAATGGCTGCAGAAAAACCTATCTATCTGAGGCGCAAGCGAGAATTTATAAAACCCCTGAATCACTGAAACCGCTTAAGTTGCCGATTTGTGAGAATACACTGGGAAGGTGCATAAACAGCCTTAATGTCTTACTGACAAATGCTACCTAAGCCTCAGATTCTTGTCTGGTAGGTTTTTACAGGCAGATAAACCAAGGAAGAGAGAAATACCCTCAGAATTTCAAAAGTGAGTTCATAGATGTCAGATGGGTAAAAATAAAATATAAAAAGACTTCTTGTTGATCAGAAATTTCAGATACCTAAACAATGTAAGCAACCAAAACTAAGTGTTTTTTTAAATTTTATTTTATTAAGGAAACCAATGCTTTTGTTCTGACTAGATTTCATTTTTAAGAATACTGGCAATAACTTTCAGTGTGTTGTGAATTTTTTCCTCAGGTTAAATTACTGAATGTGAGAAGGACACCTAACGCTCACTGAATCTTCATAGTAATTTTACTATTGCACATGAATCTCATTAAATCTCAGTCTCAGAACTGTTTATAAATGGAATGGCTTACAAACCTTAATGAGGCGAACTGGGGGCACCTGATGCTATAGTCATTCCAAAAATTGATTTCTTCAAGCAAAGCTTTGTCTGTGTAGGGACAGGTGGGATCTCCTCTGGATATTTTAATTTCCTGCCTTGTTAATTCCCAGCAATAAATTTTGAAGAGATACTGCTGATGATAATGACTAATAATTCTGGGCTATTTGCTTTGAGATGATAATGTTTATTTCTTTGCTTTTATTACAAAGTTTATAAATACCAACATTTAACTTCAGTGATGTTAACTGGTATTTTTTCCAGATGAAAGGTTTGAGGCTGTCCTCTTACAAATGCCACAAAACTGGCTTTTTTTGATAATTTGAAAGCATTTTCAGACATATTCTATGGCCTTTCTTCGCATTGTTTTAATTTGATTTGCACACTGAAGCACAAATGACAAGAAACCCTGTTTGCCACATACAAACTGTGTCACTGAAAGAACCGAGAAACCAGGCATAATCTGTTTTAAATCCATAACCGTGCCCAAGCAGACTAGCCTTGGTGGGAGCCTCTATGCTGAACAGATAAATGGCTGCAGCACCATCTTAGGGAACCACGTCATGGTTTATGTCCAATTAGCTGCACCTTTCTGTGGTAGCTTATTGTCAAGCTGCACGGAGATCAAATAATTTGAACTACAGTCTCAATGGCAGTTGTAAAAGTGAAAAATTCAATGGGAAACACAGTGTCTGCTCTGTACTAGCCTGACACCTTGCTTTGAAAGCTCAAGCAATATAGCACTATTCTTTCAGAGAAAGGATGAAAGTGTCAGGCTCAGGAGAAAGAAAACAGTTTCCATCTCTGAGGTCCCCGCAGAATCACTACAGCTGTGGGAGCAAACTGATTCATTTCTCCCCCATTAATAAGCTGATAAGGTAAACACTGAACACAGGAAAAAACAGGATGAATTTTCATGATCAAACATTTTTTTCCTATATTGAAATAACTGTTGTTTCCTTCTAATTAGAATTAGTGGTTTTCAGGGGTTTTTTTGCTATTCAAAGTTACTCTGCCTGCATCTTTGTTAACATATCTAATATTTTTTTTAAAAAAAACAATCCAGTAAATAAAGTAAATCTTTATTCTTGTCAAATTATTTTATAAGACAGAAGCAAAACAAGTATACCTGATGAATCGGTTCTTAGAGGCGAGCTGAATCTTCATCCTCCCCCACCCCCCAATTTTTGCTCCCCTCTAGTTAGAATTAGGTTTTTTTATTTTTCTGCTATTCAAAGTTACTACAAGCCAAAAGTCTTCCTGAGTTATTACAACGAGTTCAGGCTGAGAACAACGCAAATGCTCCCTGCCAGCTGCAGGGTCTCAAGGAAAAATGAAGTTCTTCCAAAATACAAGTGCTACCCTAATAAATAGCATCTGTTGAGCAGATCATTGGCCACACTAACTGAGTAGGAAACAAAAAGTTAACTGAATGAGCCCTTAGGCTTTGTGAATGCAAATATTTAAGAAATTGATAGGCAATAAGAGTAAAAAGTTAATCCTTTGGAACTCTCATGCTCCGATTAAAGCCAGCTGTGAAGCATTTGATTTGGGAACAGACACATACAGCAGTGTCGGAGTAAGGGCCTCTCTTTACAAAAGGCAAGAAGTGGAGACCGGCAGCATCAGTGTGAACGTGTCTGGTAATATACGTCAGCTATGATCTCAGAGGTGCCTGGAGGTGAGAGAGTAGTTTAATCCCCTTTCTTCCCAGTTTAGCTTCTTTGCAGAAGCAGCCAATCAGGGAGCTATTTATTACTAATTCTGATTTCAGATATCCTTCTGCTGGGCGCTGGGCTAACCCCACCAGTTAGAGATCAGCAAGAAGCCACTGGGCTTTCTATCACCGGTGATGTCTGGTTCACAAGGCGTTTTCTCGAAGGGCTGTAAGCACCTGCTCCTCGGGCCCCTTTACTCACAGTTACATTTTACTTTCCGTTCGCACCTCCTTTTAATGTAAAAAGGGTCTATCGTACTCTGCCTTACCTCATGCAGAAATACCAGCTCGTTTCTCTCCCATCAGACAGACGGGGACCGGGAGCCTGGACGTTCACCTGCCGAAGCACATCACAGATGTGAGGTTCGCTCCAAAACGCTGTTGAAGAAGCCAGAGAGCCCGTTTTGTCAGCTGAAGGGCTTTCCCCCACCGTTTCCCTGCCCATGGACGGTGCTAATCTGTGGCGCTTGAAAGGGAAAAAGGTTTCAGAAGCGCCGTGACAGAGCGGGAGCTCGATTTACGCGCACGTTATTCCTCTCAACCCCATCTCCAAAGGCCCCCCATAAAAAGCACGTGTGCCTGACACCTCTGCAGCTGGCAGACCGCAGATTTAAATGACTGGCTTGCTCTGAGGCTCTCCTCGAAGCACCGAAGTGCTGCACCATCACTTCCCTCAGTGTATTTGTCTCGAAAGGTGAATTCTGACCCGCGATGGCGGAGGCCCGGGGCCCGCCTCTGCCCCCACACAGCCCCCGGCCCCTCTCCCA